ACACCAACTTTAAAGTGATTTCTAATTTAAAACTGAACAAATGTGAGGCCAAAATTTGGGACCAAATTTCTGTCAGTATTTTTCTACTGACTCATTGAACAGTTGTTATAGCCAAGACATTGCTATGGTGGTCATAAGGTGAGTAAACCTCAAGAAGAATTTTGCAGCCTGAAATAGTTGCCTGTTAAAAATACATATTTTTCCATTTGTTATTCATATCCTCTGATGTAGAAAGGCTGTTTGGGAATATCTCCGGTAGTTCTTTCAATTATAGTTTCTGAGGGATGCATAGGTAAATGTTCCCAAAAAATGGATCACAATGAGCATCTAATACTGAATGTTTAGGGGATGAGCTGTTTACTCAGATGTTAATACTGAGACAAGAGTTTTGCCTCCCTGCCCTTGCAGTTCCAAACAGAAGTAGGACATTGAGAATTTTTAAAACCTTGACAGAAGTGGTGTCACACTGTAGGTGAGTTTTAGTAATTGCAATAGGGCCAGGGTCCTGGTCCTTTAATATATGTACTATTTATTTCTTACTGCTGGAAAAAAGAAAAAAAAAAAAAAACTAAAGAATGCCAAAGCCCTGTTCACGTTTGAGAAAGCATGTGCAGAAACCACTGTTTAGTACTGGTAATTTGAAAGCACATTGTTTTGTTAGGGGTCCATGAGAAACTGAAACTTTGAGGGGGTGGAAATAAAATTTCTAATTAATTGTGAAAGCACATAAAGCACCCTTCTGTTTTTACAATTCAAAGTTTAACCCTTTGGGGCTACTTCTTTGTACATAACCTTTTCAGTTGCTTTCACTGCAGTTATGGAGGCTGAAAAATACCACCTTTCTTTGCTATAGTTCAGTTTTCTCATTAGAATATGAGACTTTTGGGCTGTTATGCTGAAGAAATTCAGGGATTTTTACCCATGAGTAGCTTTAGAGTGATGTTCCATTTTTCAGAAATTAGTTTCTCATCAACTCTATTAATTATTAATTATCATATTTTACAACAGCTGTAGTTTTCTGGGTTAGCACTAAAATGATCCTTACATTGTCTTTCTACAGTTTTGTTCAGCTGATTAGCTTGAGCTGGTTTATTGCTATGCCATCCATTTAAATTAACAATCTGCAAAGAAAGCCAATAAAATGCTTCACACATCCCATTACTGAGGTAGTAATAGTTACTCAATTAGGCACAACTACTTCAGTTTCTAGTCTGTTCCTTAATGATCAACAGAACACATTAATTTAAAATATTATTAACCAACAAATCTATGTAAAGAGATGCATTTTAACAAGTAGAAACAACATTAATGGGGAGAAAAATATTGTTTTACTTATTAAGCATCTGCACCACAACTGCTGACACATCTATAAATCAGTAAAGTTTTACAAACTTTCCAGTTGCGACCTCCAGCTGCAAGAGTGTAGCCTGATTGATTGTCCCTTGACTTTCAGAGATGATGAACTAGGAACATCTCTGAACACTTCTTCTCATCGTGAGGATGGGGGTTTGTATAGGGGGAATTGAGGATGGGGACATCTTGCTGTAAAGTTCCTCTAGCATTTGATATGTTTGGGGAACTTCTGTGAAATAATGGTAAAAAAATAATCTTTAACAGTTATTTAAGCAGCTGATGTGTTTGCTGTAACAATATTCGTCATAGGAAACAGTTCAGAACAGGGTTTGAAGACAGTTAAAAAGACTGATAACATATAGCCAGTCCTGTTCCTCAGCATTAGCATTTTTTACACACTGGAGAAAAATGTAACAAAACATAAAAACTGTAAAAACTCTTGACAATCTTTCAGTCTCAGGAGCACTACTATAGACCTGCATTTATACCTTAATACACTTCCAGTATACCTAGTGCTGCATTAGCAAAATGTCAGCTCTGACCTGAAGAAATGCTCTGTCTCTGAAATGCAGAAAGCATGACTCATTAATAATTTCAACATTTAAAAAGTGGAACTCCACTCCTTTCTTACAACTCTGTTGATGCTGCAAACATAGGAATCAAATGTGTTGGTACTTTGTACACATGTGCTACTAGGATTCTGAGGCTGAGTGCTCCTATGAAGATTGATTAAACATCATACTAATTCTGCACAACCAGCATGTTACACAGTTTTTGTAGGTGAGTGAGCCAAAGCATGGAGAATCTGCTTTGGCAGACATTACACAGCTAAGCTGATACACTTGACAGCACCAGAAAAAGAGTAAAGTAAGGAAAAAGTATGTGGAAGTTTGAAATTAAAAAAAAAAATTGCCTCAGCAATTGATAACCAGAAAAAAAGTTGTGGTTTATTGAAACTAAAACATATAATGAAATTTTGCATTGAAATGGAAGGAAAAAGATTGAAACTCACTTGAAAAGACATATCAAATTTCCTTTTGAACTTATCTCCTTGTTGTATCCTGGCTGATATATTTTTAAAGAATATTCCTTTCATCGAACATCCCATAATACTTAAGCTTACAATAAATTGATTGGTAGTATTATTCTTCACAATTTAAACAAAGTTGTGCTTGTCAAAATAAAGGAACAAAGTACCCTCTGTGGTGTAATATCCTTGACTTTTAAAATCCTGTTTGTTTATTTACACGCTAATTGCAAAAAATGATAATCCATATGAGGCCACTTAGTTCCATGCAAATGAGTTTTTACTGTGGGTTCTGATATTGTAAATATTTATTTACCTATCTAAGTTATTGGAACTAGCCACTACAATTTTTCTGTAAAGGACAGGTTTCTATGTAAAAGCTTCTTGAAGGGGAAAAGACAGTAAAAGATGAGTTCTTGGTACAAAGCTTATTTTTAATTTTATTAAGTAATATTATGTATATTTTGTATAGTTATATAAGTTTATAATAATAATGTGATGTATACTCTTATCCAAGTACATTGTGGCATAATATACTATGATATAACCAGTTTGATTTGCTGTGTTCAAAGAGTGAATTGTCAGTTCCAAACAAAGTTGCAGTCACTTTGAAGTTTGGGGGTAAATATATAAAAATACATTTTAGCATATTTCTACATTTTCCATTGGCTCACTTTTTAGGTGTTAGACAACTATTTTTGCAATGGACTGAGGTAAATGAAATCTCAAACTCTGAGGAATATTACCTTTATAGCACAGTTGCTTCAAGTTTCATATATATTTGAGGAACATACACTGGTGATGTCAGATACTATTATTTTTAAAAATAAATAACTTCGTGCAAAAGTCATTAAGCTTTTGTCATGCTTTTTGTCCACATACGTGTCTTGACAGTTCAAAGTTCTATAGGAGATTTGGAAATATCAAGACTTCTTTAACCTGTCTGATAATTATCTTTAACATTTCTGTTACAAATGTACAAGGTGAGTCATGCTATGTGTTTTATATTAAATTGTGTCTATAAATGGCAAATGCGTTTCCTCTCTGAAATATTTCAGACTTCATCATGTGTAACAGTGCAGAATTAAGTGGGCTTGGACTTACACTTTTCTCTGTATAGACTCATAAATGAATGCTGGAAAGAATTACCATTTTCCTGTTAAAAGGAGGTGTCTGATCATCTTTTGTTTAGACTTTCAATATCTTTTTACTGAATATCAGATGAAGTTTTAAAAATAAGCTTGTTTACTAATTACACTGAATGGAAAGAGAAAATGTAGTTGCTCTGTAGTTCTGTCTTAAAATTCAGGGTTCTGAATCTACATCTTTGTAATAATGCAGACATTAACAATTGTCTGCTTCTGCAAATAAAAGATACAGGTATTAACCGGACATACACTGCATAAGAATTTATATATAAGGATTTAAAATCAGTTCCACATGAAAATATTTAAGTAGATGTATTTTTAAGACTGAGTTTAAGTTAATTTCAACATTAAGTTCACAAAAGGGCCTTCACTGCATCTGCATTAAAATATTACCTCTGTATGTAAGTATGAGTAATATTTGCATTCATAGACAGCAGTGCTCCCTCATTCTGTAAAGTAACATCTGCAAATTGATACATTTCAAGATCTTCCATCTAGTGCTCAAAATACAAAGTGCATATAAATTCAGGTTTGCTCAAGGGTAGCCACACAAACAATTATGCAAACTCTATCATTTGTCATTATGTTCCTTAACATCTGAATTATTGCAGAATTGTTTATGGGTAGTTTTTGGTCTCATTTGTTGATAATGACCATTCCCTTCTTCCCTGTGACCTCTAAAACATTTTTTATGCCAAACATGCACCATATTTTTTATTGTTACAACTTCAAAACGTCAGGTGTAATGTTCTTGACATTTAAATCATGTACTTAATTTGTATTGTTGACATGCATTGGATTAAATTGCCCATCTTTAATAAAAATGAATTTTGTTACTTTTTTGAAACACAAGTAAATGAGATGCTCCAATCTTTTTTGGAAATCATTTGCTCGATAAATATTAACTAGTCTGAAAAAGGCATGGAATCTATACTACCAGAACTGACGTCACACCTCTTCATCCTGAAACCTGATATGGAGTGACACAACTATCATATTTACATTAGTATAAGATGGAAACACCATCAGCAATGCAGTCCTTCTCAGAGAGGAGCTGGGGCTGGCGAATACATAGAAAAGAAAGCTTTCTGCTGAAATCTACTAGAGAGAGGAGAAACTAAATGAGTAAATAGGCATCAGAAACTTGACCAGGTACTGTTTTTTAACAGGAGAAGTGAATTCGCCAAATTGCATATTTCTTCTTGCTGTTTTGTTGGCTTCCCTGGAAAGATTTTACCTTTTTCATTTTGAAGAACCATGGGATGATGGCTGCAAGGATGAGACTGTAGACATTTCTTTTGCCATCTCAGTAACACTGTGGCATCTTAGTTTTGGTTTATTCCCTGTTGACACCTCTAGAGTTGAGGTCTGACGTTTGTGTTGATTCTGATTCTTGATCTTTAGGTTTCATTCTCTACTTGACCAGATGTGAGTTTTGCTGACTACCCTTACTTCTCATTGTTCCTTTGCAGAGATATCAAGTACCTTGAGAACAGACTTAGGCTCATATGTTGACATTTTCCTCTCTCAAGTCCAGATGCAGCAGCAATGGTTCCCTTTCTGAAGCTTCTGAAGGTAAATTCTTGGAAAGTGATACTGTGCATAGATTTAAAATTCTCACCTCCATGATTTCATAATTTAGCAATATCTTAGGTCTAACATAAAGACAGTTGCTCCTAACGTGTGAAGATCGGAGCTGTTCAGACTAATTTCTGACATGGATTCTATTACATGAATTCTTATGCAAATTTCAGAGTGCAGATAGCTTGTTTAAGGTATGCTTTGTTACGTGAACGATTTTGTATTAATAGCCTTGGAGCGTGAACTGTGGAACTGTTTGCTTCAGCTGTGTGCTCTGTGCTGTTCATTCCTCATGCTGCATGAGTGGCCCCCTCAGCTGCCAAGGACTGAGTTTTCTCCTTGACCGAGTGACTGAAACTTTCAAACTGCAATCACAAATGCATTTGTGATTCATATGATGAATGCTCATATTTACACATGGATAGCCTGGTTTGCATGCAAATATTGGAATTCAGATTACTCTTGACATTTTAGGGTATATCTAGGAATGGCCAAAACCCAAGAAATCTCCTGATGCATTCTTTTAAGAATCCATGCCCTACCACTGTTAAGTGTAGGTACACTCTCCACCACACCTTTAAAAGTCCTGGAAGTTTTCATGGACTCTTTGTTGCCACTGGGGATCCATATCCTCCATCCCTCAATTTGGTTTATGAGATTGCCTTCAGTTTTGTTCTATGGAAGGAAATGGTGGTATTGCTACTGGAATATAGGGAGGTGATGGCAGCACCAGAGATCAGGTGTAATCATGACTGTTCTAACTGGTGAGTTCAAGGTGGTATGTTGTATTGTCTTCTTTTGCACGACCTTGACAGAGAAATCTGGATGATTAAAAAGCAGTAATGAATTGAATTTTCCCACTTCTAAAAATAGATAAACGTGTGTATATATATACAAATACAAAGTCATGTATTCATAAATATGTAAACGGATACATAGGCACATACATGCATTTGTCTGTGTGTAGGTGTATCTCATGGTGGAGAGGACTGAGAGACTCCTATTGCCCAGCCTTCACAGGTAATTTGAAATTCTTTATCTTCTTTGTAAACATCATAACTGCACTCTCCCAAATACAGTGTTTTCTCCCTGGGTGTCTGTTCACAGTCCTCCTAATGGGCTTCTGGGGTTATGAAACTGGTAAGGAACGTAAGGGAATGTACACAGTTCCCAAACGTTACTGCAGTGTGAAGGTGTTCCTTAGGATGATATAGTTCCTGGTGTCCTAAATATAAACTGGTATTTGGTTGGTCTGAGAAGAAGCTTCAAGAAGCTCTCTTAGAAAGGCTTCATCCACTGTCCTCTGTAAGTTTGTAATTGGTTTGTTTTGGAATGAGTTCTCCTGGCACAGTGCTAGGGCTTAAATCAGCAGGGGAAGCCTGCATCAAGAATTTCTCAGCCAGTTGGAACCTGAACACTTCTATGTGGTCAGAAATCAAGCTTGACGAAATTAGAGGAAAATGCATGGTGAGAATTCCATGTGCAGAGAAGAATCAACTGCAAAGTGACATAGATGAGAAAAGATAATCTTAGGTTTCAAAATTCTGGTTCAGTATTGTGATCACTGCCTCCAGAACCTGGGCATAATAATGTACATAGAAATTACTTCATCTTTTATAAAGGTTTCCCTCTCTCAGCTGAAGGAAGTAACTATTCCCTGCATGTTCCACATTTTTCAACATTGAGATGTTTTCAGTTGAAAAAAGTAACTGGGTCTACCCAGAACATCTGCATGCCACATGGGATGCCTGTGGCCTTACCATCTCTCTTTACAAAGAAATCTACATGATGCTTTACATTATACATATTTGTGTATGCATAGTGCCGAATAAAACCTTTAATTATATCAGCATAAAGAGGGATACAACAGCTATCAAGCATCAAAAGTTTTTACCATCATGTGCATTCCTATCACAGCTATCTGTTGACTTCCTGGACTGTTTTTTACTAAGTACAATATATCTATATTCTGTATGCAAATTCCACTGTGAGTGATTTGCCTGTTTTGTAAGCTAGACTGCACCTGTAACATGTGGGATTGAGTTAAAAATGACAAGCAGACAAGCACAAGGCACATTATCTTGACAAACTCAGCCTCCGAAAATTAGCCTGTGCCTGAATTATTAAAATAACAAGGAGTATTTCACTCAGCTGTGGAGAAATGCTCCTAATTGTCCACTTTAGCCAACTTCTTTCAGACTTCACGATCGGTCAATTTACAGTAGCGGCTTGCAAATTCCTGAACTCCCATTAGAGAAAAGTGCAACAGCAGTCCAACACACCCTCATTTATTTTAATAACCTGCCAAGCAGACATGAAAATGTTAAAGTTGGAAGGCTGTAACATGACAGGAACCTGACTTGTCACAGCCACATTATAATCTAGTTAAACTACTTTCTTTCTGCCTTTCATGTCTTTTCAGGTAAGTGGAAAACTAATTGTCAAATTACTAATTTTGTTGGCATTAATATCAATACTAAGGCTAGAGAAGCAGGAACAGATGGGCCTGTGGGTTTTCTTCATATTGTGCTTGAATGCTGGAAAGTATTCTGAACATACAGAAGGATAAAATCTGAGCCCAGTCTATTATCAACAATGACCTATTTATTTTAAGAGGCATTGAAGCTCTATAAACAGGCTAGTTAAAGTCTCTGAGTTCTTTTATTATTATTTAATGCCTGGAAAACTTGTTTACTTCAGTCTTGTTTCCTTTGTGCATAATAGTGTACCTGATGTAACAGGGCCAGTATTCACATCTAAAGTATTAATGGCAGAGTCTGATAGTGTAGGAGACTACAAGGAACTGCACTACCGAGAAAAAAAGTCTTCAACAATGCCAGGGTCACACTGTCTTTTAAAATGAACTGTAAGTAGGTCATGCTTCAGCTGTAGGCAGGGTCGAGAGCATTACTGCACGTTAAGTGCTTGGGTTGAGGAGCTTGTTGAGGGAAGTGGGGACAGCTCAGGTGACTGGGATGAGGACCTAATTGTGATGAACATGGAGATATGAATCCATCTACATGATGAACCCATCTACAGATATGCTGCTCAACCCTTTTACCAGGGGTTGCTTGCCCTATAGGGCATCAAGGTTTCCAGGTGCTTTCTCAAGGCAGGACAGAATGTATCTGTTACTTATGTCTGAAATCCATTTTTCTGTTTGCTGTTGTTCAGGGTGGGGTAAGCATGGTGTGAGAATGGATGGTGTTTGTTTGCTTGCTTGCTTATTTTTTTTCTTCCCCATTTAATGATAACCTTTCTGGGGAATTTGGTTTGCCTTCATGAGTGTTTGCACAGATTTTACTGTCCATCATGGCACTGATAGCTTCCTATGAATAATAAGCCTTCCACAAAGAATACTGATATGCTTTAATACTAATGTTTCCCAGCAGTACTTGAAAACTTTTCCTACTAAGTACTTAGCTTTGCCTCTATTTCATCTGGAATGGGCTCATTATTAGCAGTAATTTTGTGGGAAGCTGAATGTTCAGATTGTAGAAACATGTTATGATTTCTTGTACAATTTGGGACAGAATTTATTTTCCAGTGTCTTTTCCTTGCTCATTTTTTTCTCTACTGAACAGAAACATGGAGAAGCCCATTCTCACAGCCTCAGCACATCAGATCTGTCCCAGTAGGAGCCAGAAAATGTATCATCAGAAAACAAAACTCTTGGTGTTACTGACAAGATTATCAAGGGTCTGATTGCACTTGAATCCTATGGCTATATAAATACACTCTTGTGGAGAACATGAACCTAGGCAAACACATATCAGCACTGAGCACCAGTAGGTCTGAAAAATCATATTCTGAAAGATTCTATATTCCACTGCCCAACTTCATTCTCTCTTCTAACCACTCTCACCACTCTTTGTGCAAAATGGGGTAGCAAGGTTTGGAGCAGAACATAAACATTTGTAAAGTCTCATTATTGCAATGAACAGAAGAGAAGAAAGAGAGGAGGAGGGAAGCAGGTTTGCTGGAGCACAAGCAGGAATGGGCAAAGCTAAGAGTACAATTAGCTTTTCAGTTCCCAGAAGATAAGAATTATCATGAGCAAGCTTGGGATGGTAAATGAGGCAACTAAGAGTATAACATTCCTGAGGAGGGAATGTTTCTGTGTCCCCTGAGAACTGGGTCACCTGGGAACAGCTCCTACAGGGCTTCACTCAGAGTGAAATGGTAGCTACCTTATGAGGTGTTAAACTCTCTTTTGAGAAAACTCACTGAGTACCAGAATGACTGGTATTGGGTAGGATGGAATTTTAGCTAAATCATTTTAATTTAATTAAATTCTGTCCTACCTAATATACCAGTCATTCTGGTACTCAGAGAGAAAACTCACTGAGTACCAGAATGACTGGTATATTGGGTAGGACAGAATTTTTGCTAAATCATTCTCCTGGCCAATTAAAGCTTTTTGAATCATTAGAAATTAATCAAAATACAATGATTTTTTGTATTTTGCCACTACCTTTATGTGTGACACATAGTCTCATGTACCCAGCTCTTGTTGTCAGCAATCCACAAAGTACTTATAAACGTGCTTTTTACTTTTCCCATTGTCTGTTTTAAAAATGTCTCCATTTTGGGAGACAAGAAGACATCCATGGATGTTTAACTTGCCATTAGCATCTATATTTCATGTTTGAAACATTTAAAAGCTTCTGTTTTAAATAAACACATCCCTAAACATCTGTGCAATGCATGACACAGAACAAGTGAGTAAGCATCAAAGTGCTAATAGATAAAACAGTGCTGGATGTGGTAAAATAAACAGGACTTAATCCCTTTATAACTTGAGTAAATAAATACAGCTTTAATTCAGATACAGTTTTGCCTTTAGGTTGCTCTGTTCTGTTAACACCTATCTGTCAGCAGTAATACCATGTAAATGAGCCACTCTGAGCCTTTCCCCTTGCATCTTGTTTAATCCTCTTCCATTCTTCTAATCATCCTACACACACAGGCCAATATCTATTTTCATCTGGCAAGATAGGATCTCCTAAGGAATTAAAGACGATTTCCACTTAGCTCCACAGTAGGCAAAGGCTGGGCTGTGATCTAGGGCTTTAGGGACTTCTCATAATGCGCTGGTGCTCGCTAGATCGAAGAATTGAGTTCTGGCTACTGGATTTTTAATCCTCCTGTGGCTGATGTTGGGCGCTCCAGTGATTTAAGATCTTTGATTGCTCAGAGCTTGGCCCTTTGATTGAGTGAACTTCTGAAGACAGCGTGTGAGTGATTTCAAGTTAGTGGTTTTAAGTAACTACTGGAAAAAACAGATAGGAAAAGCCCTGTGATTAAGATGCACCATCTCTCTTTTTAATTGACTTTCTGAAGCTATCTGATGCTTTACTCTCTATACACAAAAGAAAAACTGTATAGATCAGTATTTGTTCTAATGAAGAACTCAAGTGTCACAGTATTTGTCTGTGCCTGTTTGCAGTGACATGTCTGTTAAAATTATGCAGACTAAAATATATATTTTAGAAACACACTTCTCACACGGCCCACATCAGAAATATTAGCAAATAAAGCCTCAATGCACAGGGGTAAGATAAATAGTTAATTTTGGTTTGTAATTTATTTTCAGATACTATATATTTGTCAGCTGAAGAAGAGTATATGCATAAGAGTAGGGACAGGCAGTGGTCATGGAAATGTATTTATCTTGGCAATTTGAAGTATTAGCAGTTTGTGAAACTTTGAAGTGACCTCACATATTTTTTTAAAGATGAAGCTAGGGCTTATAAAGTAAGACAGTGCCTGGGAATTGAACAACTTTGTTAGCCAGGAGCTGTTTTCCAACTCCTGTCTTACTTGCTACTTAATTGTCAAGTTCACAAAGCATTGCAGAAAGCTGCTCCTTTTGCTTAGTGAGTCAGATGCAGGATAGTAACCATGTTTCAGCACAACCAGAGCAGTTACAGATATCATTCCTGTTCACTGGGTATGTAAATTAGTTCTGTTTCTTAGACCTCTCTGCAAAGACAATAGCGTAGGGATCTTTGCCTTAG